ACATTCATTATACTGGAAAAAGTAAATTAAAAGGAAAGTGAATTTAATATCAGTAAATATGCATTCAAAAAATACCGTGGTCTTCATTTGTCAAAAAATTTGCTAATCTTAATGAGATGAATTTAAATAATAAATATAAGTATACCTAGACCTTTTCTTTGGTTGCGATTTGAATGTTTTGAAACTAATTTCATATCTGCCATTATTACATCAATAGATTAAAAGACTGAATACTATTCTTGACCCAAATTTATTGTCAGCAAAACTAAAGCAATGGCAATACCAAATATAAATATTGCAGGATAGATGTAACTGAAATTAATTTAAAAATCAATAAAGAGAAAACTAAAGTTAGGTTTCAGTTGGATAATTTATTACCAACATTTAATGACCGTTTAAATTAAAGATATGTCAATGGGAACAGAAGCGTTTAAATCAATAATTCAACATCACTTCGACTACTGTGCATCTATTCTGTATCTCTTCAATATAAATCAAACTGTTCAATTACAGCAACTCCAAAATAGAGGGACGAGAATAATTCGGTTCCTTGAATTACTCCGATAATATTTAGAAGGTCTACAGTGGTTTTCGGTTTCGCCCAGAATATTTTACTTACAAAATCACTGAAGGGAAATTCCCGGTGTTTGGTTGTATACCACAATTTGAAATATTAAATCTTCTTAGAGTGCCGTCTACCTACGGAGGTGTTGGCAATCATAATGGCTATTTTTATTTTAGAACTTGCTAAATATTAAATAGGAAATACCAAAACTTCCTTTTTTGTAATAGCTATTTTTGAATTATAAAAAAAACTTTGAGAGGGATTAGTTTAAACATGTTTTTGTCTTGTCAGTCCATTATCAGTGAGTCTTAATACATTTAAGAGTAGCTACTTATACACTGACCGGCAAAAAACGTGGCCACCCTATAAATTTCCGAAAATTAAAGTTCACTGGAAGTTTTATGCACTATCTCATTATTGCGTCTCAATTTAAATATTTATTGTGATCATGTATGCTTGTTTTGACATCCCTAAAGATATAGAACAACTGTTAGCACTAGGTCCTAAGTTTAGTATAGAACCCAGAGTAGGATATGACATTTCAATCAGAAGTATTTTAACTGATATAGAATTAGTGGCATCATCAATATCAAATTTGTCAGATAAAAACATAGCTCGAGCTAGGGTAACTAATGTTTTGACTAACTACATCTCACACAATAAAAAATCTTCCAACTATTTTCATCATTTATTAGATAAAACTAAAAAATTCTTAAAAAATCACTCTGAACTTATAGTCACTAAATCAGACAAAGGTAATGTTACAGTAGTTATGAACAAAACTGATTATCTAGAACTGTCTAAACAACTTATTAATAACAATGATTCATATCACACATTGAGGTCTGATCCTACTCAGTCTATACAAAGACAAAGTAACAAGTTAGTCAAGATGTTATTTGACAACAAACAAATTGATGACACTGCAAAGAAAAAACTTAATTCATATAATAGCATTTCACGTAAATACTATTCTCTACCTAAAATACACAAACCAACATTATCTGTTAGACCTATAGTATCATCAATAGGAGCTCCTACTGAGAATATTGCTGGTTTTATTACTGAAATCCTAACCTCTGCTTATGACTGTAATAATGATTACTACATAAAAGATTCTTTTGAAGTTAACAATAAATTTAATAGATTACAACTACCTCAAGGTTATGTGTTGGTTAGCTTGGATGTGGTTTCCCTATTTAGTAACGTTTATCTTGAAGATTGCATCAGATCATTAAATAAACATTGGTCAGAAATTAGTAGACATTGTACAATAGATAAAGATATGTTCATAAACTTAATCACCTTCTTATTCAATAATACCTATTTTTCTTTTGACAACACATACTACAAACAAACTTTTGGAACACCAATGGGAGCAAAAATTAGCCCCATTCTTGCTGCATATGTAATGGATGACCTGTTAGACACAATCATTCCAGTACTACCTTTCAACCTTTTCTTTTTAAAGAAATATGTAGATGACATGATCTTAGCTGTACCCAACAATATGATAGATGAACTACTATTTATATTCAATAGCTACGATCCTTACATACAATTTACCATGGAAGTCGAAGATGAAAATCAATCTATTCCTTTCTTAGACACTAAGTTAATCCGCTCAAATGATAACATCATTATAGTCGATTGGTACACAAAATCAATGAGTTCAGGCAGGTACATTAACTACATGTCCTATCATAAACACTCCACCAAACTAAATTTAGTAAAACAAATGAAAAATAGGGTTCTACTAATTTCAGATATATCATTCCATCAAAAGAATCTCAAAATACTTTATGATCTCTTTATAGATAATTCCTATCCACCTCTTCTTTTAAAAACACTTTTATATAATACTACATCAGTAACATCTATCAATCTAACTACCTCCCAACATTCTAACATAGCAAGTACAAATTCACAGAATACGGTTACCAGTCAAACCCTTCCAACATATTGTGTGCTGCCCTACATACGGGAACTAACACCAAAACTAACTAGAATCTTTAAATCATATGATAACATCAAAATAGCCAATAAAACAGTTTTAACAGTAAACTCTATTTTCTCAAAAATGAAAGATCGTACTCCGCATGACCAAATATCTAATGTTGTTTACAGTATTCCTTGTATGGACTGCAATGGCAAGTATATCGGCCAAACCTCTAGACGTCTTAAAGACCGTGTTACCACTCACAAAAGTGACTGTAGACTTTACCCAGATAGATGCACCCTAGCCAACCACGTTCACACCCAGAACCACAGAATGAATTTTGCAGATGTCAAAATCCTCGAAAAAGAAACAGCTTATAAGAGAAGACTTTTTTTAGAAATGACCCACATAGCAACAACAGATAATATAATCAACACAAAATCAGATATACAACACCTTAGTGAAATTTATTCCTTTCTACTACAGTTGGAAACAAAAAATAATCAAGTCAACGAACTGGAATATTCTGAATAGTATAATATTGTCTATTAAAACTCTTCTGACCATCCAATAGAAGTAGTAACTTAATCATTATTATTGCAATTGTTGCATTTTTCCAGGAAATAAAATTCTTAAGAGTAATAACAATAATTAAAATAACTTTAAAAGAAATAATCACAAAGAAATAAATAAATTCTATATATATTTATTAACAACAGAATTTAATTGTCTTAAATTAACATAACATAATTTTCAATTAAATGTAACTTTACACATGAACTGAACACAGCTTTAGTTTTCTGGCTGACATCTACTAATATGATAGCTGACAAGACACTTTAACCTTGAGGTACACACTAAATTTCCACCTCCTTGTGCATAGGTGAATAGACTGGTCCAAAAAATGACAATGTGATATGTAGTTGTGTTTTAACTGTTTTGTTTCTTAAATGTTCAATGTTTTTTAATATTTGTATTGTACTATCACACTGGAGGAAAATAACAAAAATGCACTTGTATTGTTTGAGTTTTCAAGCCACCATATAACACATACAACTTATTTTTTTTGCTTTATAAAAAAATCTTCAAAAAAGTTTTTCAACATGGAACTTTCAAATACCACTTTTGCCTGCAACCTCACACAAGTAAGTGTTTCACTACATCTTATGTAAAATACACAATTTCACCATTTTGTAACATATTGTAGCATTCGTCTGAAGATGTTAAAGAAATTTAACGAAATATAACGAAGTCGTTGAAAAGAGCACACTTTGGCTTTCATTATTCAGCTGCTAACCCAATTAACCTTACCATTATACTAATTAATAATTGGACAGCTGTGATCATTCTTCCTTTATATATATATATATATATATATATATATATACATATAATAACGGATTGATTACGCTGTCGCCGCTTTTTCCGCCCCCCAATTTCCATCTTTTTCTGTCATACGCAGTTGCCTCTTCTAAGTCTCTTGCCGCCATTGCTTCATCAATATCGTTGCGCCAACTTCTCCGTGGTCGTCCTCTCTTTCTTCTTTCAGGAGGGATCCATTCCAGTACTCTTTTAGGCCATCTGTACTCTGGCATTCTTTTAACATGTCCGAACCAGATTAATTGTTTTCTTTCTATGTCATCATTGATATTTCGCTCCATTTTCATTTCGTTTCTTATTTGTTGTGTTGTTGTTTTCTGCCGTAAATTTGTTTTTATTGAGTTTAAGGCACGGTCGCTGCTCTGACCCTTGTTTATTCTTTCCCTGATTTCATCTGCGCTATTTCCCTTCTTATTGAAAATGACCCCCAAATATTTGCAGGATTGTACGCCTTTGATTTTGTCGTCTTCCAAGACTAGGTCACATATTTCATCTGTTCCCACTGATAGATATTCACATTTTGTCATATTCATGTTTAGACCTGCCGCCTCATATTCTTCTTGCAGTTTTCTTACCATATAGCTAAGATCGTAGCTATCTTCGGCAATTACTACCTGGTCATCCGCAAAGAAAAGTGTATATAGCGTGTTTTCTTCACCTCTTCTTTTGACTTCGCTAATTCCTATAATATCCCATTTCACATGTTTGAGGTCTTCCTCCAGTTCTGTGATTTTTTCATCCTTAGATAAGGTTCTTACATTATACGTAATTATGTGCAACGTTCGTCGTTCTTGGTAGCCTCTTACATCCCGGGGATTCTTCGCACCCTCTACCCGCTGTCCATGAGTCCTACCGCTACCTTGGTCGGGAACTAGCGAGCTGCCGGGGAGTTTTGTCTTAAGTAGTCGATTCACCCTCCTTCCCCTAGTGGTAATTATTTGTAGATATATTTGCCAATAATTTTTTTCTGGACTAAAGATATGTTTCAATTGAACAAGCCTCTTATAAAGTGATATACAGTTTAGGTTCCACATATTTAAATCTATTTATTAGCATATCTACTAGCATACTGTCTATTTATTTGGTATTTAAAAAAGTGGTATAATATATATTTACCTGGGTTTTTAATTAGTTGCACACCAATCATCAGTCTTCTGTATTCACTCTTTGTCAAATCTTCAACACATTTTTTAGCTACTTGCGACAACGCTAAATCGGCTATCACTTGCTTTACTTTAGACATTTTTAAATAGCCAGTGAACTAAAATAAAATGTAAAGTTATATAACGTAAAAAAGAAGAATATGTAAGAATAATCGAAAGAAAGATTAACCTTCTGACGTGGACTATTCCAACTGGAGTCGATTGAAAGAAATGGTTTATCGAGAAAATATAAACACACGACAAGAATTAATTGACATATTATTAATTCTTTTAACATTATTAGAAATGATCGCTTATTATAGTGTATTTTTATGTATGAGAGAGTAATAAAACAATAAATTATGTATGCAAATCCCTAAACTGTTGATACGGGTGACTCAATGAAAAACAGATATTTGTCAACAAGTTTACAGAAGTATATAGGAAAACAATTTTAAATTGAGTATGACCACCAGGTATAAAGGTTGGAGCAGAATAGAATACAATAGTTGTGAGGGTTACTAATCCCTAAATAAGGTTGCCAGTGTCGGAGTGATGGAGGTTAACAGGTACTAATGAATTTGCAAGAAATGTAAGATGTTTATTTTATTGGTTATATATAACCAATAAAAGTTTAATAAGTACCTACCTATTTGCAAAATAAAGTTTAATTCTTTAGATAAAATAAAACGTTTTATTTTATCTGAAATGAGTGCATTCCACGAAGTAAGGGTTTCAACAATCAAACATTTAATTCTTTAATTCCAGGAATCTACGACAGTAATTGACTAGATAATTACCTTCTAAACTTATTCCACAGAAAATGTGATAGTGGGTTTTTCCATTTTGTAGGAAGGTCCAAGTGGCGTATTCAAAATTCTTAACAGTTCACTAAAAGTAGGTACTTCAGTTGCAAGGTGCAGTTTATTGTGTATACTAGTGTTATGGAAAATTTGGAAGTGCCGTGTAAACGCCGAAAAATTGGTCCTTTAACAGTTAATGAAAAAACATTAATATTTAATTGTTTTAAATCATTTACAGACAAACGTTTATGTGAAAGTGTTGATGAGACCGTTGAGTTAGTTAGCAGTACACTTGGTGTTGGGAAATCTACGATTTACAGAGTTATTAAAGAAGAGAAATGTGGTAGTTTTCAAATGCCACGTAATGCTCCAGGGAAACCAAAATTTCAAATAGAATATCATTTTAAAGAAGGACTTCGACGGAAAGTGCATGAATTCTTCTTTAGACAAGAATTTCCAACATTGGATAAAGTTCTTGTCTCAGTTCGAGATGATAAGGATTACCCAGAAATGAGTCGAAGTACGTTATGGAAACTTTTAAAAGAAATAGGCTTCCGCTGGAAAAAGAATCCCAGAAAGTCTATTTTATTAGAAAGAAGCGATATTGTCATATGGAGAAGACATTTTCTAAGAACCATAAAGGAAATGAGAAACCAAAAAAGAAAAATATTTTATCTTGATGAAACATGGATCAACGAGGGTCATACACCAAATAAATTTTGGCAGGATGAAACTGTTACAAGTCAAAGGCACGCTTTTGTAAATAACTTATCTACTGGTTTAAACCCACCATCAGGAAAGGGACGCAGGCTGATAATAGTACACATTGGCAGTTCAGACGGTTTTGTTGAAGGTGGTTTATTAACTTTTGAATCAACTCGTACCGGTGACTACCATGAAGACATGAACGCTGATGTCTTTCAAGAATGGTTCGAACAAATGATAGATCTTCTTCCTAAGAACTGTGTAATAGTAATGGATAATGCAAGTTATCACTCCAGACTTATAGAAGGACTGCCCACAACCAAGTGGTTAAAAAAAGACTTGCAGAATTGGCTGAGTTCAAAAAATATTACGTACCATCCCGGATCTATAAGAAAGGAACTTTATTCGTTGTGTGCCCTTCATAAAGAAAAATTTAAAAAATACGAAATTGATGAAATTGCCAAAAATCGTGGAATGACAGTACTTAGATCCCCACCATATCATTGTGAATTAAACCCGATTGAACTGGTATGGGCACAGATAAAGAGTGAAGTTTCAAGAAAAAATACCACTTTTAAAATTCATGATGTTAAACAGTTGTTTTTGGAGGCCGTAAATAATGTAAAACCTGAAAACTGGGAAAAGGCAGTAAATCACACTATTAAAGAAGAGGAAAAAATGTGGAAGCTGGACAATATTACTGATAAAATGATCGAGCCAGTTATTATAAATCTTGGTTCTGAAAGTTCATCTTCTGAATCTGATTTGGATTTGTAACAAGTAGCTGTAAGTTTTATATTAATATTTTTATTCATCTATTTAACATACCTTAGACGGTTTTAAAAACTCTTTTTCTCTTTTGTAATTTTTAAAAATTAAAAAAAATGTGAATTTTTTAAAACCCTTTTTAATGTAGGCCAGTCAGTTCTAATATAGTGTGTGATAAAAGAGGTCACTTTTGTTTACATACACATAACACTTTATAACACTGAAATAATTCATTTATTTTTTACAATTATTCAAAGTAATTTTTCAATTAATCTTGAGCACGCCCATGAAGTGGTCGGAGGTGCCAGTTAAAATTATGCTAATTACTCTCTCGTTCATAAAAATAAACTATAACACTAAGCAAAACAGTTAATATTAGTAGTAGACAAAATTAAGTAGATGCTCCTTACCTTAGTAGGGATATAATACAATGTCTGTTCAACATTTAATCCCGGTATAAAATCACATTTGTGTGTAACGTAGGCACATTTCTGCTGAAATAAACACATACTGACGGGATGGTTGTTCAGATATATCTGTCCTCGAATAGGACCTTGTGCTCTTCTCGATATAACATCAAGTAAAGCTTTTTTCCCACTACCTAAAATTAATACAAACAAGTAAATTATATTTTTTTAAATTACACAATAAAAAATAATGTCATTGACAACAAAAATTTATCTTAAATTGCTCTCATTTTAGAGGATTTTCTTCTCCTTTCGTTCCCTATGGCTTCCATTCCTTTTGCATCTATCTCGTTCTTTATTTTTTGCCTCTTAGTTTCTCCTAGGGTTTAAAGAAGACCCCAACAATTATAGAGGTATAAATTTACGTAACACCGTACTTAAGCTTACCACAAAAGTCCTAACCAACAAAATCAATAAACTAACAACTTTATCAGATGGACAACAAGGATTCAGATCCGGAAGATTCTGCGTGAAGCCGTATTTGTACTAAGAAAAATCACAGAAAAGGCCATCGAATACAATAAACCAGAATATCTATGTTTTGTAGACCTGACAAAGCTTTTCGATCGCATGCAAGTCGAAGACGTCTTACACCTACTGTGTAAAAGAAACATACCAATCAATATTATACAAACCATCGAAAACATCTACATACATAATCGAATACAGGCAAAGATAAATGGAAAACTAACACGATGTATACCAGTACAAAGCGGAGTCAGACAGGGTGACTCGTTAAGCCCACTTCTCTTTAATATAATAATGGACGAAATAATACAAGCAGTACGCAAATGTCATGGTTACAGCAAGGATATGGATCCTTAATACAAGGATCTATAAAGCAGCAATTAGACCTGTATTAACATACACGGCGGAGACAAGACCTGACACATCTAAAACGAGACGACGACTAGAAACAATAGAGATGAAAATACTCCGACAAATATCAAAAACGTCTGTTGGATTATGAGAGAAGCAAAACATAAGAAGAGCATTCAATATAGAAGACAAATGGATGGGTGACAAAACGGAAACAGGAGTGGAACGAAGACAATGGTAGAAAGACTGAGAATTGGAGAGTACAAATAGTACTAGATAAGTCACCAAATAGACGAAGAAGTATTGGCAGACCAAGTAAAAGATGGTGCAATAATTTAAACAATTTAGGAGGCTAATATTAAAAAAAGGGTTTTAAAGCCTACATACAAGAAGAAGAAGAAAAGAAGTTTCTCCTCAATGTTTTCTGTCCATCAGTTTTCAGTATATTTTCTGTGTGCCTGTCATCTTTCCTTCACTATTTCTGATGATTGATAATTGAGACTTAAATTCTTTTACATTTTGCTTGACTTCCCTTTCTGTTTACTCTTTACTCTTTGTATTGCAATAATTTTTGTAGTAATCTTCGCTAATATTGTTCTAAACTTTGCCAATGACCGTCAATTGATTCTGCGATATTATTCATATAGCTCTCTAGCTATACTTCGTAAATTTTCTTAAATTGTGTTAAGATTTATATAAGATTTAAAAAAATATTAAGAAATTTAAAATATATAATAACAGACGGAAATTGCAGTCTTGTATCTTACCTTTTGATCCTAGCACTGCTAGAACTTCACCAGAATGTACTAGCATGGACACATCTTTTAATATAACTCCAGTTTTAATATTACCAACCATTCTTTGAACAAGGGAGCGTTTTTCCACCTACAAAATAAACAAAAATGAAATAAATGATCTCTTCAACTCTGTCGTCTTCTAACTAATATAGCTAAACTAAATGCTAAGAAAGTTAGTATTATTTTTAACCGTCTTTTGTCTGCCACTTTTTTTAATATTGTGTTCGATATATGATCTAAAATACCTCGCATTTCGATATATGCTAGATACATCGTATCTAGCATATATCGAACAAATCAGCAGTTCGTATCAAATGCAATTTCTTACTACTTAGTAAAGCAAGAATAATGGTCAGTTTTTTTTTTCAAAAAAAAACTCGGCTTTTTTCTGTCTTAGACATCTAGTCATTGAAAAATCTGCTTATATTATTTCAAATGCACTGAACCGCTGAATTACTTAACAACCTTATATTATGGGAAGTTATTTCCCTCAACTATTATGTGGTCATTTCACCTGTTAATATAGTTAAAATACAAATTACCAGAAGGAAAAGGTGTGTCGGATCAATACGTTTACACAGATGAAAGCTTTCATAAACCGGAAATAGAAAGGGGCTAACGGAAACTTAATGTTGGTAAACAAATCTATTTAAAGTTGGTACTGTATATAAATGAATAAACGATTAGGAGAGAAAAAATACAAAAATAACAGGCCGACATGATTTTTGGTGTTTTTGGTTACGACATGTGTCCTTAGCATATATGAGTACACTGATTCTAAGGGCCGGTTTTACAATGTAGGTATAAAATACAGTATAGTTATTCTTGGTTTAACTTATACCTCGAGTTTATTCGAAGTATAACTGATTGCGCGTTCTACAATGTTTGAGTGACGACAGTATACATATCGAGAGTAAATAGCCTTGTAGTTCTAATGAATGACAGAGTCGCTAATTTCCTGACATGGGGGCATAATATCTACCTAAAATATAATTTACTGTTATAGTTGTTTGGCTTGGCTTTATTTTAATATCGTTTTGTTCTCATTCTTATATTAAAAATCTAAATTAAAATGGAAAAAAAGCGTTGCAACAACTTTACCGCAAATGAAATTGATGTGTTGGTCAGTTTAGTCGAGAAATTTAAAGAAATTGTAGGTAAGTAAATTATAAAATTCTGTTTTTGAATCTTCAAATTTATTTATTGTTACATTCTAGAATGCAAGAAAACGGATACGATAACAAACAACGGGAAAGAAGCAGAGTGGAGGAAAATAGAAATACAATTTAATTCTATTTGTGGGACAGGTAGAACTGCCAAAATGCTAAGAAGCAAATGGGACTCCTTAAAGAAATCGATAAAAAAGGAATATGCAGACTATAAACAGCAATTATATAAAACAGGTGGTGGACCAAAAAGAGATTTAGTCCTTAACAATGCTAGTAATCGCATATTAGCTATAATTGGCATTGGGGCAACTGGAACAATATCACAATTTGATTCTGATTTTGGTATGCAAAATATGTTACATTATTTTCTATTTTGTAGATACAATTATTAAATGTAGAACTATATGAACATATTTTTTTATAGATACAGAAATTACTGTTCAAGAGGAAAATGTTATTCCTGAGGAAACATTGGAAATTATCAATATTCAAATTGATAAAGAATTTGATGACTGTGAGATTGATGACTCAAATGTAAATCCAATAGAACTGGTAGGTATTTATTATCACTACTTCTGGTTTGTTTGTAATGTAATGTATTGTATTTACAGGCAAGCTGTAGTTGGAAATCTTGGACCCCACAACAGATTAGGCAGCCCATGAGCCAAGCATTAAAAGTTTTAAATGTTGTTGGTAAGCGATTTTGTTAAAGCATGTAATGAGCATATTTTTATCTGTTTTATTTCTAGATGCAGAGTGTAGTAAGGAAAACATAGTTCCTGAAGAAAAAGAACCTGTCAACTCTGCTGATACACCAAAAGGTAATTTTTTTCTATATTTCAAAATCAGTAATATTAAACATGTAATTTTTTAGGTTTTGCTAATACTGGAAAGAGAAAAAGGTTCTATAAGAAGGAATCAATTCCTTCGAAAATAAAGAAACAACAGAGCTGTGATTTATATGAAGAACTAGCAAAAAAAAGATTGAATATATAGATTTCCAAATAAATTTGTTAAAAGAAGAAGCTGAAATAAAAGAAAAACGTCTTTCTGAAAAGCATGCCTTAGAAATCAAGATATTACTGGCTGAACTAGAAAACAAAAAGAAGATTTGAATTCTTTTTGTTTTCTACTTCATTTCATTTTTCTTAAAATTTTTAAGTATAAAGCTTTGTTTTTTACTTCATTTTTTTTTAAATAAATTAAATTAAAACTATTTTCAATATGTGTTATATTTTATTTTGGGTTATAAATTAGCAAAATGATTTAAAATAAGAGAAGCCCTCATTCTGTTCTGTTCCCGAACAATGCCTTGGTTTCTATCAAGTGGTAAATGTACTTCCACTGCTTCAAAATGAAATTCATTTGGTGGCTCTTCTTCATGTTCTTCTATGGCAATATTGTGTAGAATGGCAGTTGCGACTATTATCGCCTGTGAATGTTCCAATGACACTCGCATACCCATTGAGAGAATAGGAAACCTACGTTTCCACACCCCATACGATCTTTCCACACAATTTCTTGTTCGTATATGTGACTCATTGAAAAGTGTTTCAGCAGGAGTAATAGGTTGCTCTAAGGGAGTGATTAAAACATTATTATTAGCATACCCACTGTCCCCTAAAATAACACTCGTTCCAAATTCTCCATTCTCCAACCTTCCTCTTATTCTACTGTTATTATAAATTACCTGATCATGGGATGAACCAGGCCACCGTGCAACAACATCCATTATCTTTAAATTTGCATCACAAATTGTTTGTATGTTCCATGAGAAATATCCCTTCCGATTTCTATATCTTTCTGCTTCATTTCCACCTGGAGACATAATACGAACATGGGTGCAGTCAATAGTACCAATAACATGAGGGAATCTGGCAATGGCATAAAAACCTTCTTTTACTTCTAAACATTCCATGTCTGTTACTGGAAATTTTATGAATCTTTTTCGTAAAGATGCAATAGCCTCAGTGACCTGGGTAACAATAACACATGCAGAGGTTTTGCTTACTCCAGCAAAGTCTCCACATGTTAGTAAAAAGTTACCTGTAGCATAAAAACGTAAGGTAAGAAGCAATTTTGTTTCTGGTCTTATAGCTTGATTGCGATCTGTTAATGATTTAATGTTATTTTCAATCAAATTTAGTAGTGTGGCACATGTTTTCTTCTGTAGCCGGAAGCGTTTGAAAAATTCTAATTCGTCAAATTCCACAAAGTAATTTGGCCTAAAAATTAATTTGTTTTAATTCAAATCTTTTCAACTCTCATTTCTTACTTTGAAACTTACCGAACTTTGAACAATTTCGGTTGTCGATATACTACTGCTTCCCTTTCGTCCTCATCGGAATCAAAAACATTTAAATCTGCTGGATTCATTTCGAAAATATTTAAAATTAAAAATTAATTAAAAGCAACAAATAATAAAATAATAATATCACCTATAACCCTATTCGCTCATCAATCTGTCAAGGAATAAGGAATATGACATACACTGCCGACCAATAGAAGGCGAGAATAACTTTATCTCTAGTATATTCGCCCGAGCTGGCATGGATAAGTTATCTGTTAGTTTATACTGAGAACAAACTTATTCTAAACTTGTAGAACACAATTTTTTGTTATTATACTGCGTATAGCTTATACTAGGTATATACTTTAATTGTAGAATCGGCCTTAAATATGAATTTGGTTTAAGCCCATCACGTCAAAAGTTCTCACAAAATTTAAAAAACCTTGTGTGATATTATGTACTAGCACAAACAAATACTTTATTGATATTTCTTAAATTGCATTAAAATTATTTCTTTAAAATACTTATATTTCGAAAGAAAATGTGTTAATACATTATGTTAATTTCATTTGAATGGCAACACTGCTGATGCCGTCAACTTTACGGAATCGGCCAGTTGTATTTTGTTTTATGTTTAAGTTAAAGTTCAAGAACAGTCCTGATATAGTGTGTTATGTGCGTGGTGATTTAACAATAGGAAAACATCAACGAAACATAAAAGACTTTATAAAGAAAGCTTATCAAGCTTACTTCGGTGTAAAGCTTGGTGATGAGGACAAACTTTGGGCTCCACACAAAGTGCGCTTTCAGAATGTCGAACTACTGAGAAAATGGACAAAAGGCACACGTAACTCTTTACCCTTCGGCATTTCTATGGTATGGGGAAACCAAAAAACCATGCACGACTGCTACTTTTGCTCCTGCGATATCAAGCGTTTAAATTCACAAAATAAACACAAAATTTAATATCCTAATTTACCTTCTGCTAAACGACCTGTATATCATAGATCCGGAATCCCTATTCCTGCACCTTTTCTTCAGAATATCCAACAGCAATCATCAGATGAAAGTTCAGACTAAAAAACCGATGAAAATGAATTCAATCCTGAATTCCAACTAGATATACCAACTTCAAAAGTTTATACAAGCTGAACTAAATGACTTAGTGAGAATCTTTGGCATATCGAAGGATATTAAACAAATCTTAGGATCACGACTGACAGATAAAAATCTATTGGCTCCAGGTACCACATTAGATAAACAAGGTGACCGCTTTAAATATCTTTGCGACAAATTTCCTGCACTTTCTGAAGCTTAACTTAAAGAAGCAATTTTTGTAGACACTCAAATTCGAACTTTAAACTCAGACAGATTGTTACAGAATACAGTGACTCAGGATAAATATGAAGCACGGAGTTCTTTATTCGGAGTTTCCCAGGAAACAAGTCTCCAAACTATGAAGAAATTGTAGCCAACATGGTCGAAAATTATAAAAAAACTGGGATGCAACATGAGCGTCAAACTTCATTTTCTGGATTTTCACGTTGACTAGTTTCCCGAAAATCTGCCCGAGCTGTCAGAGAGGAGCAAGCAGAGCGATTCAATGAAGATATAAATAATATGAAGAGA